AACCTGATAAAGGTGGATGGATGGATGGATGGATGAATGGATGGATGGATGGATGGATGATGGATGGATGGATGGATGGATGATGGATGGATGGATGATGGATGGATGGATGGATGGATGATGGATGGATGGATGATGGATGGATGATGGATGATGGATGGATGGATGATGGATGGTTTGATATAACTATTAATCCAGTTTTTGTGTAAAATCTTTTTTCTGCTCCTGATTCAGGATGTGTTATCTTTGTCTCCAGCAGATGGCGCTAAAACTCCAAAGAAGCAGCAGTTTCTCACAGGACTGATGATAAATCTGTCTGCCTGCAGGATAACATTACAAAGCTCTCAGAGCTGGACTGTCTCAGGGATTCTTATAAACAGAAAACCTGAAGAATTGACAGGAATGTAATAATAGAGTTACCAAAAACCCAAACAAAAGGCCACAAATCCTAATTAAAATAAACCTGAGAGTGATTCGTTTGACCGCCACAGGTTTTCCACCATAATTCAGTTCCCTGGGCCCAGGCTGTGTAGCTGCACACCATCAGGCCTGGGTAAAATAAGAGACACTCGTGCTTTATGTGGCAAACTACTGCCCCCTATTGACCATAAAGCTTCTTTTTAATTCATATCAAATCTGTGCAGATGTGTTGTGATTTTAATCATGTTTAAGCACAATTTTAAGTATCTTTAATGCACATAAAAGCATGCTTTAATGTTAGCAGCTCCATCAGAGCTAAATGTGAAAAAGCATTATCTCCTTATTTTACCATCTTTAAAATTCTGTTTGTGTCGCTGATCACAACTAATACAGTCTTCCCTGAGCCGGGGAAATAAAGGTCAGCTAGATTAAAAAGAGAAATAAAACACCTGAACATGTCAGCTCTTGTAGATAAATTTAGCAAATTAAATGTCACAGTCAATCAGCAGCTGAACGTCTGCAGCTCTTAACAGAATTCACAATTACAGTCTTCCTCTGGACGAAATGTCAGCTGCAAATAACGAGAGTAAAAAAATGTTACGCCTGTGAATCATGAAGTAGAAGCTAAAAAGCACAGGTTTGTCTGTTTTTCAGTGCTTGTTAATCCATGTAAGCATTAGCTGTGGCTCTGGGAGTAAAAGCATGAATGGGATGTTTAATCAGCCCTCTTGGGTTGACAGCACTCAAGCTTAATAGAGGGAAATAATTGTGAATAAAGAAGCACTCTTAGATGAAAAAAGGAGTTTTTGTCACAGCMCTCGTGGAAATCTGCAAATATTTCTCACATTTTTTCAAAGAAAACGATGAATTCTTTATGCTTAACCAAAAGTCATCTGCACTGCTGAACAAAAGAAAATAATTACAGGAATTTATATCACAGATACATATTAGATTAATTAATGCTAACGTTTTAAAAAAAAGTCTGTTGCAATGAGTAGCACTTAAACTGACTGACATCAATTTTTTGTTAGAAACATGAATGCATTTTTTGGAAAAATAACATTTATAATATTTTTGCAAAATCAAAGTCTTGCCACTGAGCTGAACAGTTGTTGAGATATTCATGTGAAGCAACAGGAAGTGATGTCAAAGGGGAATGTCTGCACGTAAACAGAGCGTTAAAATAACTAAACACCCATTTTAGAGAAAAATCTGATGTTTCTTTCGATTATTTTGAGTCTATTAAGAAGAGTCAGAGTTCAAATAATATCGTTTTAATAAACAAAAACCAGAATTCCCATTTGATGTCACTTCCTGTTTCACTTTGAGCCAAATTCATAAGAAAACTCTTATCCTAAATTTCTCTTACGTTTGTTCGTACGAACCCTTCGTACGAAGGGTTCGTACGAAGGGTTCGTACGAACATGTCACGTCAGATTCAACAAACTCTTCTATCTTCAGGAAAACTGTGTAAATGAGCTGCGTAAACTGATGAATGTGTATCAGGTGTTTATGCACGAGGAGAGGTGATTAGTATAATTACCACCATAAAAACACCATATAAGGATGTGTTTCCTGTCTCACATTCCAGGAAGTGTTCATTCATAAATGACATCACAAAGTAAAAAGAAGAACTTTACGAGTTCAGAGATTGAAGTTCTGCTCTCAGAGACCCAGAAAAGAAAATCTGTCATTTTTAGCAGCGTCAGCTGTGGAATTAAAGGAGCTGATAAAGTAAAGTAAAGATTTATTTATACAGCACCTTTCATAGAAATAGGTTGACAAAGTGCTGTACAATCAGAGGCAAATCTTAAAGATATACAGTCAGAACAGGATATAATAAAATTTGGAACAAAAAGTATAAAAGCTGGTGTCTCCTGTGGGTCGTTACAGTCACAGAAATAAAAATATAAATCATATTCATCTCTCTCCTGCTCCGCTTTTCATTTGGTCAAATATTTTAAATTAAATGTAGAAAACTGTTTACTGTTTGTTTAACCTTTAGCTACAGTTAGCTAGTGTTTTGCTGATTTTAGCTTTTGTTCTACTTTTTTAACATTAACAATTTATTCWGCATTAATTCTCCAACAGTTATTCATTCATCCCTCAGTGCAGTTTTTATTAAAACTTGCTAGTTATTTTTAAAAAGCTAAAAGTCCTTCCTGTTTYCTCTGCTCTGTAGAAATGCTCTAAACATTACTTTATATTGCACTCTCACATATGTGGATATCTATAGGTATATGTGCAGTTTTATGTGAAGTTCAGAGTAATGTGAGACACAGAATGAGTTTGTGTTCAATCAGAGGAGCTGCTGCTGATTTACAGCTGATTACAGCAACACAATTAAGCTCCTGCTCCATAAATCTAAAYCAAAGGTCAGCAGCGTCTGACATCAGTCTCACTCCTGAACATCGATTGTTTTCACCCATTTATTTTACGAGCTGATTGCTGAGCCTCAGTCAGGTTGTCCTCCTCGTGTTCACTGACACAAAGCCTGCAGAGACCCTGAGAGCGGAAGCTGGGACCACCGACCTCCCAGGATGATGATTCTCTGTCATCTAAACAGGCTGGGAAAAGCTCCTGCTTGTGTTTAAAAACAAGTGGCAGCTTTAACAGAAAAAACAACCCAGGTGTTTGACTTGATCAGACATAAAACAACATGTTTTTTGCAGTCCTCTCTCACACTACAGATTATATAAGAGTGAGGCCTACTCCAGCTTCTGCAGCATCATCAGGATTCTGAGAATTGGGAGAAAGGTTGCCATGGGGATGTTTGCTGTTTCATCATTACAGGTAATTGCTGCTCTTCCCTGTCCTTCTCTCTCTTCTTCACTGAGTCACCACTTTACTGACAGTCAAGTGTGTTCCTGCAAAATACATGAAAGAGCTTCAAATTCTTTGTTTGGGACCACATTAACCAATCAAACACAGATGTTTTAGTGCTGCGTTTAACTGATACTTGTAAGATGTTTATATTATCAGGCCTGCTGAATGGTGAAGGCAGAGTGATCAGGTTTTATTTGTCTTTGTGTTTTTGTCTTTATAAATGTCCCCTTTAATTTGAAATATGCATCTAAAGCAGGGCTGGCCCTGGTGGCGCCATCTTGTGCAGGTTTTTAAATCTCACTGCCAACTTCTACATTCACATATTCACTCATTCACTAGGGGTGTAAGAAAATATCGACACACTGAAATATCGCGATATTTCATTTCCCGATACTGTATCAATATTCTAAAGCCCTGTATCGATTTTT